CAGCGCATCATGACGCCTGAGTGTGTGATACAGTATAATAATAACATGCGTTCGGTTGACAAATCTGGTGCAATGATTTCCTCCATTGAGTGTGCAAACAAAACCCTCAAACGGTCCAAAATCTATTCTTTCATTTTATTGATGAACGCACACATATTGCATATGTAAAAGTCAGGGAAAAAAAAACACTCCGAAACTTCGTCATTGAGGTGGTGCGACAGCTGCTTGAGGAACACCCAACCCCAGGATGTCGCCAGCATGGTGATCATCCCATGTGCCTCACAGGTCATCACTTTCCACACACCATGTAGCCACAACCAGACATGAAGAAAAAGAAAGTCCAGAAGGCATGTCATGTGTGCGGTCACACAAGAACACAACACTAAGACCTAGGCAGTGCAGTGAAACACGGTACCGCTGTTGTGAATGTGATGTTGCCCTTTGCCTCAAACTGTTTTGAGGGATATTATACCTTGTTACGCTTCTAAAGAGAGACAAGAAGGGAAAAAGGAGAGAGCAAAGATAATACTAGTGAAATATTTGTAAATAGTAAAAATAATAAGGCCTGTATAAGTTGTGTGTAATAAAGTCACATTAGTATTTATGTAATATTATTGCTATTATTATCCTAATCCATGTGCAACACATGTGCATATTGGCATAGTAATCTAAGTATACAATATAAGTGAATAATATTGGCAAGACTGTAAGGAAAATAAACTGAGTGACGGAAAAACCTCCCCCTACCTTGGAATAAAAAACATCCACGTTTATTTCACAAGTCTTTTTGAGTTTCATTTGCTATGCTGCTACATTCATATTATTTTTTTGTGAAAAAAAAAAATCATTATGTATATACCTGGCTGCATAATTGACCGGAAGTACTGTGACAACACTGAGAGGGAGTAGGCTTGGCAATGCTGCATCAGCCCAGGATTTAAATGTCACGCAGCACTTTTAAACGAGGTGAGTTGCCACTTTTACAAGTATTTCTTGTTTTCTTAGATCATTTTGGGGTGTTTGGGCCATGAAACAAAATTTAGATTTTCCCAACCATGTATGTATAAAAATGTGACCTTTTACGGGTTAAAAGCGATAATTGAGGCTGATGTATACACACCAGAGCAGGTGCCTCTTTTTGAAGCTTATGCCTGCCAGAACCTTTATTTCAACTGAGGAGAAAACAGCTCTTGGGTTCAAGGCTTCCAAAGATCGTGTGACTCTCCTGTTAGAGGGGTAATGCAGTAGGTGATTTCAGGCTGAAGCCCATGCTTGTGTACCACTCAGAAAATCCCAGGGCTTTCAAGAGCTACAACAAATCCAGGTTACCAGTAATATGGCGCTCCAATAAGAAGGCATGGATGTCTGGCAGCCTCTTCCAAGATTGGTTTACTAATTGATTCTGTCCTGCTGTAGAAAGGTACAGTAGCCAACAAAATACTGCCAACAAAGCCCTGTTACTTCTTGTTAGTGCTCCCAGCCACCCTGTTAACCTTAATGACCTTTCACCTAACATCAGGGTTAAATACCTGCCCAGGAACATAAATTTTTTGCTACAGCCTATGGATCAAGGTATGATTACCAGCTTAAAGGCCTTCTATCTACACAGGACATTTAGACAACTTATAGCTGCAATTGATAGTGAGGATCAGCAATCATTTAGAGATTTCTGGAGAAAATATAACATGAATGCTGTAAACAACACTGCTGACTCCTGGGATGAGATGAAAAATACAACTAAGAATGCAGTCTGGAAGAACAATTGGCAAGATCTTGGATCAGGTGCAGCAGGACATTGTAACTCTGGCAGGGTTGGAGGAAGTAGACCAGGCTGGTGTAGTAGAGCTGTTAAGGGTCACACAGAAAGGTTCTGTCCAATGAGGCTTTAATGTTAATGGAAGACGAGCGAGCTGCTGCTGCGGGAACAGGTGTTGCATCATTCCATGAAATGTCAACAAGGCTTTGTCAACTGCAAGATGTAATGCAAGCTGCTGAGACACATGATTCAGGCCATGAATGCAGCCTCAAGTTTACAAGAGAAATGGAGATATAGGGAGATGCACACTGAAAAATTGCACCATTAATGACCACCACCTCACCACTCAGAACTCCATTAATTAGTAAAGATACATACGTATACAATACTGTACGGGTATATATCTCATAGGTAAAAATAACATCATCAGGAACCCATCTCCATATATGCAATGGAACCAAATTCATTTCTCTTAGCACAATTAGAACAGACGCTGTGAATAAAAGTTCAGACAGTTTTCGCTAGCCGTAAATATTTTTGTTTGTGCCTGCAGTCTAAATGTAATGAGAGTGTGTTTGTCTATGTGGGATGAGATGCACAGTTTTGAGTCGAGATGAGAAGCATAGTTGACTCTCTTGGAAAACTTTCCCCAGCACCCAGAAACTTTCTGGGGATGTGGACTAGTGTCTGTCTGTGCAAGATGCGCACATTAGACTTTCGCAAACGTTTCCCAGTAACCTGAAAAATTTGGGGATTAAGGGATTTTTCCGGGTTTGAGAGAGTTGTTTTATTGCCGGATTTCTCTCATTCCAGGAGGAGCTCTACACCAATTTTTCCGGTTAAAAGGGATATCGCTGTATTTATCACTACTGCCAAGCAAAATTACGTCAAGGAATCTTTTCCACCAATCAGCTCCATTGTTACATGAATACAACAGATTTATCCATAAGTTTCCTCTGGTATTGTGATGCTGCCACATAACCGTAAATGTCATGACAAAGAGTAAAAAAAAAAAAAATCTTTAAATTAACAGTATATAAATATGTAACTTACTGATGTGTGATTGTTGCTCAAATGACCTGGGTCAAGTTACCTCACTTAGTGGTACAGCATGCCCTTCAAATTCGTGGGGGTTAGGTTCCCAAAATGGTCGCGAATTGCCAAATCTGCGAATAACATTTGCTGACCAGGGAGGGGAGTTACATTTTTACTTGTGTACAAAGAAATGTATATTACCTTTATGTGTTTACCCTTAGGACAATTATTTCTTTTACCTGTATTGTATATATGTGTGTGTGTGTGTGTGTGTGTGTAGTAGACACACACACAAAATACACAAATAAGTAATAATGGGAAAATCCTCTCACAAATAATCAGAAACAAATGTATTAAAAATGTGATAGTCTACCCTCAAGTCAACTCTGTGCTTTATTAATAACAAAGCATGGGGTGGACTTGAGGGTAGACTCAACATTTTTAATACTGTACATTTGTTTCTGACTACAGTATTACCCGCTTTACACGGTTTCACTTTCCGCGATTTCTCATTTACGCGGTACCTTGCCAGACCGGACTTTCACTTTCCGCGGTGCATCTACTCATATATGCGGTGAAGTATAATTTTTTTATATTTAGCTCATAAAATTCATACAAATTACCCGGCCAGAATATAATTTACATTGCTGGAATTCTTACAATATGATGATCATTTTGAATATAAACATCATGGATTTTGCATTAGACATACAAATTTTAGATCTACTGTAATAATTTGGTTTACACAAAGCAAATATTTTATCCTTTGTGCAGAATATATGAAGTTTACATTCAAAATATTCCCTGACCTGCAAGGAAGCCAGAAATGTCAATTATATTATCCTAACTTTAGTGTGAGTTATTATTTATTACTAAACGTTAAAATCTAGTGTTTTCACCCAACATTTCTCAGAGAGGTAGGAGCTAGTGAGCTGGGAAGAGGGGGGGTGGGGGATTTGAGTCCATTATTTGAATGGACTTAACCTGGTGACTGTATTTCTCTTAAATATTAATTGTGTGAGCATACCATCCTAAAATTTAGATGTTATTTTTACTACAACATAGGTATTGTGTCGGAAAAAGTGGAATTTGGGGGTCGGGCCAGTCTCGATTGGAATTAATCCCATATGTTCTGTTGTTCACTTTACGGGGTTTTCACTTTCCGCGGTACCCTGTGGGTTCAATTGACCGCGTAAATCGGGGTACTACTGTATATTTGTGAGAGGATTTTCCCATTATTATTTATTTGTCTGTGTGAGTGTCTACACACACACACACACATAATACAGGTAAAGGAAGTTACTGTCTCTAGAATGAAAGGCTCCCTGTCCCGGCCACAAAAATACCAGCAACTTTGAAACTACCCTTAGACATTATTGGGTACATTCAGGGCGTCATCCGCGAATTAAAAATCCGTGAATTTTAAGGGCATGCTGTACGTACAATTTTAATGTAGGTTCACTACACAGGAGGTATGATATTTCCTCCCTTACTAAGGCTCAGTGAGGCAACCAGTCGGCTGTACATCTTCAGTGTTGCCAGTTAGGTAAACTTCTTAGTGTACCTTCATTAACTTTCTTTTTTATTTTCTTTGTCCTTTTTTATAATTCAAACAATCTACAATAAACTCCCTCCCTCCACTCTTGGTGGGATTATAAGTTGGCAAGATCTGTGAGATATGGAGCATGCATCCTGATGCCTCACTGGCTCTTGAAGATATCACTTAGCTAGGAGTTAAAGCATTGTTTAAGCTGGAGTTCAAAAGATGAGAAGCTAACTTGCAGCAATCCACAACTCAGGACAGTGTGGCACTACAGTATGCCAAATCCCCTTGCCATGGCAGGCACTAGTGGAAGGTCACACAAATCATTCTGACTATATGAAAGCTATAAAACATGAAAAAAAGTTACATTAGGATACAGTACTCAATTTACAATGATAAGACTGTACCAAATTTCTAGAAAAGAAGAAGCAATAAGAAGGGCCAAGATGCTGAATAAATCAAGACCCTATGGGCATGAGTTTCCTCATCATTATGATGTAATTTTTCCAGGATAAATTCTATTATTACCTGTTTAAAAACTTAATTTTCATGAATCCATGACTATCATATCTATTGTGCTAAAAGATAAAATCTTGAATGAACAACTAAATTGTATATCTAAAGCTCTTCATTAAAATATCACTGATACCTTTAAGTTTTAGTTACCTGAAGCAGAGACAGCAAAGAAGCCATTCTGTGCACACTGGCCATGGTCTACTAGTGTAGGTCTGTGTGATTGTGCCACAAACTTCTCAGTATACAGGGAATGTACTTTCACATCACTTGATTGAAGGCTGGCCTGATGTAAAACAAAATTATAAAATCATGATTTTTCATAACATCATTTCTTTCACTTGCAATTATACCAAAGGAGAAAAACACTGAATGGAGTTTTGGAACCTTATTTCGAGACCTGTACAACAGCACAAAGACAGTCACATCTGAGAGGTCTTTACCCTTTCAGAAATCGTCTTAAATATACGAAGGGCGTGAGAAGGTGCGAGGGGGTTGTTGTAAGACTCCCCCCAGCCCCCCAAGAAACTGTGGTAATTAAAGAAATAATATGCCGGTGGGCAGGGCCAGGGCAGTATAGTGAGGGGTGGTGGGCAGGGCAGTATAGTGAGTGAGTGAGTGGTGGGCAGGGCAGGCATAGTGGGTGGTGGAGGGCAGGGCAGTGAGGGGTGGGCAGGCAGTATGAGTGAGGGGCAGGGCAGTAAGTGAGGGAGTGGTGGGCAGGGCAGCATAGTGAGTTAGTAGTGGGCAGGCAGTATAGTGAGGGGTGATGGGCAGGGCAGTATAGTGAGGGGTGATGGGCAGGGCAGGATAGTGAGGGATGGTGAGCAAGGAGCAGAGGGGTGGTGGGAGGGCATAGTGAGGGGTGGGCAGGGCAGTATAGTGAAGGGTGGTGGATAGTGAGGGGTGGTGGGGGGGCAGTATAGTGAGGTGGGCAGGGCAGTATAGTGAGTTATAGTGGGCAGGCAGTATAGTGAGGGGTGATGGGCAGGGCAGTATAGTGAGGGGTGATGGGCAGGCAGGATAGTGAGGATGGTGAGCAAGGTAGCATAGTGAGGGGTGGTGGGTAGGGCAGTATAGTGAGGGGTGGTGGGCAGGGCAGTATAGTGAAGGGTGGTGGATAGGGCAGTATAGTGAGGGGTGGTGGGTGTATATGGTAGGCAGGGCAGTATAGTGAGGGGTGATGGGCAGGCAGTATAGTGAGGGGTGGTGGACAGGGCAGTGGATGGTGAGGGCAGGTGAGGGGTGGTGGGCAGGGCAGTATAGTGAGGGATGGTGGGCAGGGCAGGATGGTGGACAGGGCAGTATAGTGAGGGGTGGTGGGCAGGGCAGTATAGTGAGGGGATGGGGGCAGGATAGTGAGGGAGGTGGATGGTGGACAGGGCAGTATAGTGAGGGGTGGTGGACAGGGCAGTATAGTGAGGGATGGTGGACAGGCAGTATAGTGAGGGGATGGTGGGCAGGGGATAGTGAGGGATGGTGGACAGGGCAGTATAGTGAGGGATGGTGGGCAGGTCAGGATAGTGAGGGATGGTGGACAGGGCAGTATAGTGAGGGATGGTAGGGGTGGTGACAGGGCAGTATAGTGAGGGGTGGTGGACAGGGCAGTGAGGTATGGTGGGCAGGTCAGGATAGTGAGGATGGTGAGCAAGGTAGCATAGTGAGGGATGGTGAGCAAGGTAGCATAGTGAGGGGTGGTGGGCAGGGCAGTATAGTGAGGGATGGTGGGCAGGGCAGCATAGTGAGGATGGTGGACAGGGCAGTATAGTGAGGTGGTGGGCAGGGCAGTATAGTGAGGGGATGGTGGGCAGGTCAGGATAGTGAGGGATGGTGAGCAAGGTAGCATAGTGAGGGATGGTGAGCAAGGAGGTGAGGGGTGGTAGGGCAGCATAGTGAGGGGATGGTGGGCAGGGCAGCATAGTGAGGGATGGTAAGTGAGGGTGGTGGGCAGGGCAGTATAGTGAGGGATGGTGGGAGGTCAGGGTGAGGGATGGTGGGGCAGTATATGGTGAGGGTATAGTGAGGGGTGGGACAGGGCAGTATAGTGAGGGATGGTGGACAGGGCAGTATAGTGAGGGATGGTGGACAGGGCAGGTGAGGGATGGTGGGCAGGTCAGGATAGTGAGGGATGGTGGACAGGGCAGTATAGTGAGGGATGGTGGGCAGGTCAGGATAGTGAGGGATGGTGGACAGGGCAGTATAGTGAGGGATGGTGGGCAGGGCAGTATAGCGAGGGGTGGTGGACAGGGCAGTATAGTGAGGGGTGGTGGACAGGGCAGTATAGTGAGGTATGGTGGGCAGGTCAGGATAGTGAGGGATGGTGGGCATAACAGGATAGTGAGAGGTGGTGAGCAAGGAAGGATAGTAAGGGGTGGTGGACAGAGCAGGTCCAGTGCATTACATTAATATAATTCAATGAAAACCAAGTTTATCTCATTAATATTCATGATCGGTTTTTAGAATACATGTACTGTACAGTACTGAGATGAGACTAAGGTTACTAAGTGGAAAACAAGATTTGCCTCCAAGTGAATTATAAATAATCAGTATACTGTATAATAAGATGATACGAACCCGAATTCCTCCATGGAAGAAATTTATGTGAAGAATATCTTCACCGTCCCAATCACATGTATGTGTGGAGGTCCAGTTATGTAGGCTCGATCCTTTGGTGAAAAGCTGCACAGTTCCCAAACTTAGCACAACAAGGAGCTGAGACCCTTCACTATTAAACACCAGTGAGATTACTGTGCTTGCTGAATCTAGGATACTGGAAAAAAAAATTGGTATATTATATTAGCAATTTTACAATTAAAATAATAATGTGCAAATTAAAAATACAAATTTAACAATGATTTGCTTTATCTTTTGGTATGTACCTTACTATACAGTAGATCCTCCCAATCTGTAGAGCTACATTCCTTCCTATAAAGTCTGTTCAATGTACAGTACAGGAAGCCCCCCAAATTCGTGGAGGTTAGGTTATCAAAATCCGCGAATAAATTTTGCGGACGGTGGGGGGTGGTGTTACATTTTTTTCACCTGTGTACAAAGAAATGAATATTCCCTTATGTGTTTACACTTACGACAATTTTTATTTTACCTGTAGTATTGTATATGTGTGTGTGTGTGTGTGTGTAGACACACACACACACACACATATACAATACAGGTAAAGGAAATTACTTCTCTAGAATGAATGGCTCCCTGTTCCAGTCGTGAAAATGCTGGCAACTTTAAAACTACCCACAGACATTCTTGGGTACATCCAGGGAGTCATCCGCGAATAACCGAGAACTGCGAAGTAAATATCTACAAACTGGGGGGCACTGTACTAGCAATTATAGTTTCAAGAATTTTAATTCAACTTCATCTTTCGTGAAAATGGGGTTAAGTTTCTTAGTGTCAGAATATAGTATATTGGAAAATTTAAAGATGATAATAATTGCAACTGGCTACTGGAATATTTTATTTAACCAGCTATGATCAGGATGATTATTAGGCCTAGTGATGAACATCGGCAAAGACCTTGACCCCCCTCCATATTTTTCTCTTCAGATTTGTGCAATTCACGTGGATCGACCTGGATGTTCCCAAAAAAAAAGCCAGAAATCCAAAAACAAAAACTAAAAATCACACCCCTGATCCACCTATATGACTCATGATAAATATGTGGAATAATCCACTTAAATAAAGTCACTTAATGATAAGAACAATTCATTTGACAATATTCATTGCAAAATTAGTAGGTATAACCTGTAACATAGTACAGTATTTGGTAATTTAATTGCTAACATGAAATATAATAGGTACACAAACTATTCAATTATTGGAGGGGACTATTTACTGGAATTTGTTCTTAAAAGTTCAATTATTTACCTATTATATAGTTAGATTGCTGTCAAAATAACAATATTTTTAAGTTGAATAGAATTCACATAAAATTCCCTGGCTTTTCCAGACCAGTAGACACTCCGCTTCATAAAGAGAAAGAACATAAAGATATGACATTATATACTTTCCCAATTATCAAAATTTTTCTCAAAAAGCACAGCTAGTATACAGTACTCACACATGTGGTTCATAGGGACAGTTAAGATCCATCACATAAACAGTACACACAGGAATGCGGTGTCTATAACTGTCTTGTCTTGTTGTCATCCGCGTGAAGGCAACTATGTTCTTAGAAGAGACTGTGCACATTCCTCCACCATTATACAATCTGAAAATTCACACAAAAATGGTTTAAAGATAATCAGGCCTCTCTCAAAAATAAAGTTAGGGGAATAAAGCTAACTTTCACTCTTGCACTCTGATTATGAAATGAAGTACAGCACTGTACAGGTAGTTCTGCTATAACGCGATAGTAGTGTTCTTGTAAAACATCGTGTTATGGAAATTCGTGTAATAGAAATAACAGGGCTTATGGAGAAAATAGGGTTAGGTGCAGATTACTCCAAATCGAAAAAAAATTTCGTAGTTAGCCTAACACAAAGGATAGCACAGTCTAAATAAATGTTACATTCATATCTAATAATGAAATCATACAGTAAATGTTACACTTTACCTTGAAAAAATATGAATATAACTTGATGGGGGATAAGGGTGATGTTGAGGCTGAGGAGTCATGAAACATCAAGCTTTTCTTCAAGTGTTATAGCCTTTCTTTTACGATCACCACCGGAAATGGGATCACCAGAGTGCTTCCCAGAGATATTCTTCTTTTCCATAGTCACAAAATTGGAGAAACAGTAATCAGAATTCACTGAGGACACTTAAAAACTTCACACGTGTTTCAAACAAAGTGTGGAGTAAACAGAGTGCGCGGGTCTAAAACGCTATGTATTTTGTTTTTCTCTTATTTAAAATTTTACATTTTACATATACTGTAGAGGTATACTGTATACATAAATATTACATAAATTATTTCTGCAATTCTTCATAAACAAAACACATAAATCAATTGAACGTGCGATGTCGAACGTGAACTGTAAACACTGCATAACCCTGCGCCAGCCACAATGTACAGTACACTTTAAACGCTACTTATTTTGTTTTTCTCTCTTATTTAAAATTTTACAATTTACATATACTGTACAGGTATTTCTTCACAAACAAAACACATAAATCAATTGAACAAGTGATGTCGAACGTGAACTGTAAACATTGAGCCAAGCCACAACACTGTACAGTACACTTTAACACTTTAAACGCTACGTATTTAGTTTTTCTCTTTTATTTAAATTTTTACAATTTACATATATATATATATATATATATATATATATAATATATATATATATATATATATATATATATATATATATATATATATATATATATATATATATATATATATATATATATATATATATATATATATATATTATATATACATATATATATATACATATATATACATATATATATATATATATATTATACAAGGTTAAGGTTATGTTGTTATTTCATGCAACCAACAATGAAAAACTAGATAAGATAAATCTGGATAAATTGACGGAAAATGGAAACAACGTGAAAATTTTGCCGCCTTTATTCACCTTTCAGAAGGTTCTGAGCGACGGCGGCGCTTGGTCATGGCACCAAAACAGGCGTCGAACAATTTATTTATCATCCACTGACCGCCATCGGTCACTGGTTGCTGGCGGTTTCAGATAGTCGTGTCGTAGTGGACCTCATTACATCAAGATCAAAGGTTTTCAAAGCATTTTTAACCTTGGGCCACTGACAAATAAATTTATGATGGTCAGTTCAAAACTGATAATATGTTACATAAATTTATTTGTCAGTGGCCCAAGGTTAAAAATGCTTTGAAAACCTTTGATCTTGATGTATGATAGTTATTTTGTGGGTCCCTTTATTCTGACCTGACCTGTCTAGTCACGTCACCACCCTTCTCTTAAGCTCCTCTACGTGTGTGTTGGTGTGCGGATTAGTGGATGTCATCATTATGACCTGACCTTATATTTTTAGGTCACCCTGTATATTTAAGCCTCTCTCTGTCCATGTAACCCAGTTGCCTCTGAAGATGTCTTGAATAAAGACGAAAGCTAAGGTACTCCGTTGTTTCCATTTTCCCGTGTGATTTTATCAAGATATATATATATATATATATATATATATATATATATATATATATATATATATATATATATATATATATATATATATATATATAAATTGTAATTTACATATTATTCATATTATGCTAGAGCGCCCACAAAACATGAGAAACGTTTGAGTCCCCCAGTAGAGATGTCCGTTCTCTATCCACTCCAGGATGTCCGTTTTCTTTTTGTGTACTCGCTCAGGGACTCAAGTATTTCTGTATATGACACAGGATGATAAGGGAATTTGAATTTATTTGTTTATTTATTTATATATAATATACTGTAATATATTAAATATACTGCAAGTATTTTCTTTAATTTATATACGTGTTTCGCGACAAAGGGAGGCTACATTTATGGTGATCGTTAAGGACCAAACTCCGAATCCATGACGTGACTTCTGTTCATTATTTATATCCTAAATTTACCACTGTCGGCAGTTTCAAGAATTAATGCAGTCATTTACTGAATATTCTTTGCAAAAAAATAAATTTTAAATGAATTATTTATAAGAGATAAGTATTATGATCAGTAAATATACAGAGATGCATTACTGACCACCTCCGAACACAAGGATGGCTAAAAATAGCCACAGGCGGTCACAGTCAAGGTCACTTTCCCTTTCTTGTCACTGGCAAATGGGGGAGGGGGGGATGATAATAGCAGCTGTGTTTATTACGGTATGTTAGACTGGTTTATAATACATTTTTATTATTTTAATATACCGGTAATCTTCATTTTAATCCAGCTTACCAAACGTAAGTTTCAGTATAAAATAATTAGTGGTACTGTAGGACCTTGTGAGTGGTTTACTGTATACATAAATATTACATAAATTATTTCTGCAATTCTTCACAAACAAAACACATAAATCAATTGAATATGTGATGTCGAACGTGAACTGTAAACACTGTGTGTGATGTAGAGAGAGCGCGGGTGTAAAACGCTATGTAATTTGATTTTCTCTTTTATGTAAAATTTTACAATTTACTTATAATATATAGGTATACTGTATACATAAATATTACATACATTATTTCTGCAATTGTTCACAAACAAAACACATAACTCAATTGAACATGTGATGTCGAACGTGAACTGAAGCCACAACAACCGTTCGAGTGGAATCGCGTTAGAGCAAACGAGTTCGCGTTTTACAAATATCGTTCCTCAATTCATAAATCGCGTTCGAGCAAATTCGCGTTGTCAAAACACGCGTTATAGCAGAACTCACTGTACTGTATCTGTACAATATAGCTATTGAATTGTACTTGGCAAGCTTATCTTGAGTATGGGTCACATTTTAGTGACAAACACTTATGTGTGCCTTTTCTAGTCCATAAAAAATAGGACAATGGCATTAAGTATCTACTGTCCTGACATATGAATCTAACTTCTAATGTGATTTAAGTTGCTAATCTTACTAAGTGGAGAGTACAGGTGAACCCTGATAACCAATGTCCCGTTGACCGCCGATTCGCACAACCGGTGATTACGTACATGGAGGAGAAATACCCCATAAGTTTTGTCGATACCCAGCAGATCTGATGATTGGCAAAGCTGATGTGGTGCGATTATTGTCACCATAGAGCACTGCGCAGTCTCTGACTCATTCCTGCCATCTTTGCTCTTGTTTACACTTAACATGTGTCTCTGACTTTGAGTTTTTTCATTATTTCTGATTTAGTGTGATACTCAATCATGCCTAAGCACCCAAATGATAGTTCCTCTTGTACTGGGCATTTGATGTGATGTGATAAGGTGTAATAAGAGTGGTGATGGACCAGCAAAGAGTGGTAGAGACTTGAACTTGTTTTCCTAGACAGTCTCTACCATCCTCAACACAGGTAAATAACAGTCTCAATTAAATAACAGTCTCAATTTATGCTTTACATTGCTTATTTTAGGTTTATTATGCTTGCTTTATATGTCTGATTTATTTTCTTGCTTGACAGTGTGCAGTACAGAGATATAGTAATAACTCCGTTAGCCGGAATCCCTTAAACCCGGAACTCTCCAACAGCCGGAATTGAAATTTTCTTGGAAAATCGTTCCCAAAGCTGGATGATTGGCTGCAGTTGGCCTACTGGCCCATACTAGGCAGCCCCATTGACTTTACACTCAACCCATATTGCTCTGTTCAGCATGTTTGAGTTATGGTAAAGTAGTTTACACAATTCTAAGACACCTTTTTCTATGACATTTCCCTCGCAAATGACCTGACATAACCCCCTAACTGGGGTTCCCCCACCCCCAGCTTATGTAAGTCGTTTGCAAGGAAAGCGTCAGAGAAGAAAAGTTTCTTAAAAGTGTCTAAACTACTGATTCCAATAGTTAAATTCCAAAGATTCTCCAAATGACCAAAACTAAAATAATACCCGAATTAATGATGGTGTTTGGTAACTTGTTCCACTCATCCACTACTCTAAAGTATTTCCAAACCAGTGTTTACCTATCCCAAACCTAAATCTAAATTTTTTTATTTTAAACCATTACTGTACTATGTGTTTGCTCCTGGTTAGATAGTTTTAGTATCTTTGTTATATCACCTTTCTTTGACCGTGACTTCTGTTTATACAAATCATGGTTGTATCTTAAATATGCATTAATGATGGAAATAAAGGTAATATATACATTCAGGTAACTTTTGACGACACACCCGTCACCGATTTTTAATAGAAAAGTAACATAAAATGCCACAATTTAACTGTGTTTTGCAATGGACACTGTCTTAGTTTGGGCAAATGTATTAAAAAAAAAAGGTTTATCTTTAAATTAAACCTAACCTGACCATAGTCGATAAGAAACACAAATAGCCGAAGCATTGTTAGAAGACCGTACCAACCTAACCTTACCTAATTTCTTAGCTGAGAGGCATATTAAACAGAAGGAACTTACTTTGACATGGTGCAATTTTAAATTTTTTGAGACGTGAGAGAAGCCGCAAGGACCAAGCAGCTTGGTTATTGCACTGAAACAAATAATAAGTGGAAGACAATATCGAGAGTGGATCAGGCCACCATACCATTTTATAGCCACAAATGAAGAAGTAGTGCTGCTGGTATGAGCCTAGGGGCCTAATTATCTACCA